AAGCGGAGGAGGCGGTTGACGCGCACCGCGACCGGGCAGGGGAGCGCGTCCTTGGAGCAGAAGTCGGCCGTGCGCCAGAAGAGGTAGGCCACGTCGGTGGGCAGCAGGCTCAGCAGGTCCCAGCGCCAGCGCTGGCTGCGTATGTAGTTCCAGCGGAGGCGCGCCGCGTCCGTCACCATCAGGCCCTGCTCCAGGTAGCCTGGAGAAAAACAAAACAAGTCGGTACAGGTCGCGTCCGTCACAATCAGTCCGCCTGCTCCAGGTAGCCTGGAGTAAAACAAAACCATTCGTTGCGGGTCGTCGCGAAGCAGTGAGACATGCCACCGGTGGTACTTCATAGGTCCATCGTCTGCGATAAGATGACCACAAAACGTACATTTCTATGGAATGTGTGCATAAAAATGCATCCGTTTTGGATGCGTCTGCACAGGACATCCCGACCTATGCCGCGACACCAGTCGGCAGCGGGCACACACGCGTGCCCTGCACAACATGCTAATCACATCCACACATCCACCGCGGGAGAGAGGAGGGGGGGGGGAGGGTATACGGGTATGTGTCGCATCATATTCCCAAGCGCCCCTCTATGTGTCTGTGTGTGTGTGTGTCACAGAGAGAGAGAGAGAGAGAGAGAGAGAGAGAGAGAGAGAGAGAGAGAGAGAGAGAGAGAGAGGGAGGGGGGGGGTATGCATGTGTGTGTGGCAGTGGCTGTGTGCGTGAGTTTGCTGTGAAGCTGATTAGGCGCCGTCATTACCCCTCCCCATTTCCTCGTGTCGCAGACAGGCAAAAACACACACAAACGCACCCCCTCTCCCTCCTCTCTCTCTCTCTCTCTCTCTCTCTCTCTCACACACACATACTGACGCAGCACCCTCAAAAGAAGCAAGCGGCGGCAGCACTGGCTGTTGCTGCACTCGGGTCACACCGAGCCGAAGCAGAGGTCGGGCGGAAGGGTAGGTGCATCGCTCCTTCTCTCTCTCTCTCTCTCTCTGTGTACTCCGGAAGCAGGCGTGGCGCCGGGCTGACGGGGTGACGGGGACGCGCAGATGACAAGGATGTTGACGAGGGGCGGGCCCTGCTGGCTCCGCCGCCGAGGGCTCGCGGGGCCGCCGCGGCTAAAGCGAGATGAGATGGCTCAGGAGGGGGGAACAGAACCCCGTCGGAGAATAATTGTGTCCGCTCGTTAAACTTTTTAAATATCCACGAACGAAATGGGGGGGGGGGCGAAGCAAAACTAAGAAAGAATCGCCGTAACGCGTCGTAAGGTGGTCGTCGTCTGCAAGCGAACAAACCGCTGCTGGTGACAACCTCGGCCAGGCCCGGGAGGTCAGCGGCCTGCACAGCGCAGCAGGGGGGCGCCGTCGAACCGCCCTCGTTAAAAGGGAAATAAAATGAAATCAAAATTCCAGCCGCGGCTCAGCATTCCGCCACGAGACCCCCTCCCCCCTCCGGGCAGCGTGGAGTCAGCCAGAGGTTGTCATCAAGAAAACCGCTCACGCGTTGGCAAGCGCCCCCCACGCTGCCTTGAGGTTGGCGAGGGGGGGAGGAGGGGCAGGGGGGCAAGATATGGCGGTGGCTGGAATTGGCTCTGCCTCTATCGGGTACTGCAACAGGGCGAGCAAGGTGTTCGCGTCGTTCAGGTAGAGGACAGGGTGGCGGGCGTTGGCGGCCCCCCTGGAACGACCCTG